TTCACATTTAAATTTTATTTTTTTAAGTCGCTGAGCATAATCGCTAGTAAACAATTATATATCTTACAATTTTTTTCAATATTATTTCGTGTCTAATATTTGGTTTTGTCATTGTATTATGAGAATGCGTTTAGCATTTATTCATCTATTAAATTAGCAATTTTTATTATAACTTACAAATTGCTTGACAAAATACTCACGTTTTGTAAAATACATTTATACTTTGATCTATTAATTTCTGGCCAGTGTAATTGCCAAAGAATATATAATAAATATGACCAAGGACGAGTAATACGGCGGTAATACATTCTTGTAAATTGTCCATATATTGCGTCGCTAAAAAGAGCTGTGTAATAAGAAAATAGATACGCTTTATAATCTTACTTAATGGTTAATCGTATATAAATAAGGTAAGAAACTTACACGAAGTAAATTAGCAGTCAAAGAAGTAACTCCCAAGCAAAGTAAAAAAAAATATGAAATAACAAAGCCAGATCTTAAAAACTCGACGAATCTTGAATAAGAAAAATACTTTAATAATAAATTGTGTTGATATAATTATTTTTATATTAATTATGTTGAATAAAATAATGTAATAATTTTTCATTATAATATATTGATTTTGAAAAATAAATTATATTTTGTCAGTTTATTCTTTGTTAGTGTAAATGAAAAGGTAAGATATATTTCATTGATTACATGTATGCTGTAAAAGGTAATACATGAATCGATTAAAGAAGATCAAATAAGATGGTTAAAAAATATTGTGCCGTAAAACAAATGCAAGTTTTTAAAAGATACCGACTGTGTAGCTCTCCTGTGAATGTGAACAGCGTTTATTATTTTTGTGCAATATGAACAACATTTTTTTGATGTCATTCTGCCCAATACTTCGTCAAACGCATGTTCTATTCTGTAACTAAAACAAAATCTGTTGTGTAACAAATTAATTGTTTTCCATGTATGTAAAATAAATTAATTTTATGTCTAATACAGAATTATGTCGTAAAGCACAGTATCGAATAAATAAAATCCATTAGTAAAACATTTTTACTGCCTTTTTTTTATTTTACACTCAATTTTCAATACTATTGTATATCAAAATAATGTGTTATTGCAGATCAAATGTGTCATTGTATATCAAAATAATATGTTATTGCAGAAAGAAAGAATTCAATTTAATTCAGAGTTTACCTGGCGACTTCAAACATTCCTACAGCATGTCGTGCATATGCTGTAATTAAGGATTCAGTAGAAATCACTGTGGTGAATCCTACAATAGCTATTATGTCAATATGCAATAAAATCGGAAGATAATATTCCTGTTGATCGGCAAAGTATTCTGCAGCTAGTGGTATATTATGCAACCGCGATTCGTTTCGTGGTGCTATGATGTCGAGAAAATTTGGTGTAAATTGAATAAAAAAATAAAAAACCAAACCAAAGTACACGGCCACTAAAAGTACATGAAAGTGGATAGATACAAGCATAGTAAATAAATACATTTTTCGTATTCACTATAATATATCTATCAAATATATGATTTTGTAAAGGATAGAATGGATATATTCATCAAAGTTAATATTTCCAGATTAATGCCAGAATATAACAAAGAACATTTATCTCACATGCAAAGAGCAACGCATACAATCGTCCAAAATCGGAATGTTTTTTTATAATTTCAAACTCGGCATCGGTTTTTAACAAATTCCAATCGCTTATAACAGTTTCCATGAGATTTTTTACCTGTACATTTTTAAGTTTTATTAATTTAATTTAAAATAAAAAACATCAACGACACAACAGTCGAAAATATGTTATAAAGTATAACATCTTGTATCGATAAATCTCATAATTACTGTTGACTTACTGTTTCACTACCAAAGCAAAACGAAGCGTATTTTAAAATGAATACCATACAAGGTATTGCAAACGACAGAACTTTGAGTAGAAGATCCAAACTGTATTCAGTTGTGAGAAATTTCATAAACTACAAATAATTATTATTCGCCAAAGTTGAACAAATTATTGTTAAATCTTAATACATATAGAGTCAAAAATATGTTAATAAAATAACAAAAAAAATATATATATATATTAGCTATGTAATAATATATACGAGTCTACATCATATACATATAAGAATGTTTCTACTAATAAGGAAATAGACCCAAGTGTTCCCCTCCGATTTTAATGAGCTTTTAATGTTATTTTTTTAAACAAAATCAAGATCACTTAAGCTACCGCATATGTGAAGTGTTCGCATTTTTATGGGGTCAAACATCCCTTAACAAAAAATCGGTTTTACTTCAGAGCCAATATCTTCAAAACTATGAGATAAAAAAAATTGTTTCTAATAAAAGTTGAATGGCCTTAAGAGTACTTTATAATTATAATTTAGAAAAATTTTAAATTGTAAAAAATAATAATTCTGAGATTATAAAAAATAAAAAAAATTTTAAATTATAATTTTAAATACTCTTAAAGCCATTCAACTTTTATTAAAAACTTTTTCTTTATCTCGTAGTTTCGATAATGTTCACTTCAAAATAAAAAAACAAATTTTTTTCTAAAGGATGTTTCACCCCTTAAAAGTGTGAACGGGCATGAATAGGCGGTGGCTTAATTCTTAATTTTGTGTCTAGAAAATAACATATATTAAAAGCTCATCAAAATCGGAGAGTAACACTTAGGTCCCTTTCCTTATAAGTTTATATTAAATTTATATAATAGAAATATACATATATTCGTATAGGTATATTCGTATGTATATGTTACCATTAAAACCCGATTTCACTAGTTAAACCTAATTTTAAATTTAATTAAAACAAGATCTATAATTGTACTGTTTCACATTTTCGACTTTCCACGCGTAGCAAGATTCAACCTCCCCTTTCTCTTTACGGGGCAAAATGAATTCTATAATGATAATGTCCACAGTAGGTTTTCGATTTAACGTCTAATCAACCATTCCAGTTGTAACTAATAAATTCTCTCGGGTCTTAACGGATTTATGGGTTTTGACGGTAACATATGTATATATTTGTGTGCTTGTATATTTCATTAATTAAATTTATTAATTACAATTTATTCTATCAAATAAAAGATTAATATAATATGAATACTGTATAAATCTAAATATTGAATTAATTATAATATACCTAAAACTTATTTACCTGAATAATCATAGAGGATATAAGAACAATAGAAGAAATTACCCATTGAATTTTTTTTATTTTTGGATCTTGATATGGCCACAAACCGACTGCAGACAAAAGAATACGATGTATATTATAATAGCGATATATATTTCCTACAAGATCCATCGTCGTTCAGCGGGCGAGAACGTTTATTCATTCGCTCAAAATGAATTTTTATGATCATTCATATCATATTTTATTAAGTCTTTAAACTTTTTCAATTTCTACAATTGACATCAAATTGCGGTTATTGCTTGAAATTGTAATGCTATTAAAAAAAGGTATAACATCTTTTCCTTTCCTTTTCTTTTATTGAATTTCTTCAACAATGTAAGTCCGTTTTCATAGTTTAAAGGCAGAGAGAAGAAACGCTACAATTATTTAAATTACTTAAATTACGGAGTTTGTGGTCTAAAGCGACGAATATAGCGATGTTTTTTCTCTTCACTAAACGCAAGCGCAGTAGCGGATGGAATATCTTTACCGTCGAAACACGATACATTCGCATTTAATTCGTCCTGAGAACAACATCTTTTCGTCATAGTTCGATTTAGTTCTAAAACCTGACAGAGTCTTTAATAAGAACATTAAACACATAAAATAAATTGTACCATATTAAAAAGAATGACATACAACAATATTTGCTATAATCACAAGTCAACAACTAAATTCAAATTTCATATAAAGCTGTCATTTTTAACGCAATATTTGTAAGTATTATATTAAAAGAAATCATTTTATTTTAAATCGATAAGTACAACTTTCAAATTTTGATTTCTACAATTTTTGACAAATAATCTACATTAAAATTTTTATATGAGTATTGCAAGTTGAATATTCTATTGTATTATTATTGCTCCATTTAAATACTTTTGTTCATTTCATCATCATCGCGCAAAATAAAACATTAATATGCATGACATTTGAAAAAATAATTTTGTATTGTTATAAATATTTTGGCTATCGATGAAAATCTTCGAAAGTATAAAAATGATCATTTTGTTACGATTAATATAAAAAATACTAACAAATACTAGCAAATATACTAAACAATACTAACTTAAAAACTCTGAGTAAACTGAAATTATTCTCATGCATATACAATGTTTCATTCTGTTTTAAAACTTTGGATGACATTTTCTTTTAACGCATGTTTTATGATAATTAAGCAAATAAAATAGACATATGAAAACAGAAAATAATTAAAGTATATATTTTCATAATTATTACATTATTAAATTATGTCTTTTTAATAAAACGTATGTAGAGAGAATTAAATAAATGGATATAATTAGAAACACATACAGAATTACATTTAATAGATTTTTATTAACTTCTTTGATTTATCTAGCAACTTTAAACATGCCATATATATGATGTATGGAAATCATATACTTCTAGAAATCGATACTATTATCTGTACAATTGTGTAAAATATAAGAATGATGATACAGAAGATCGTTTAAATCAGCTTCAATTTACGAATCCTGTATTGGCTATAGATCAAAAAATAATAAAAATATTCAATTCAATTCGTAATATTGATTTCAAAACAAGTCTATATTCGCTCAATATATGTATATTACGCCTAGAATACTAAAAGATCTTGACTCTTCTCTCTTTTCACTATTATATATATATTATTTATTACTTCAGTATATATTATTAATTACTTTTGTTCCGTTGATGCATCAGTATTACAAAATAAATAAAATAAGTATGTTCTATACAGCTTTAATAAAAAATCATTGTAAATCAATATTTAAAATGAAATAAATATACATATATTTGAAATTCGACGAAAGCGAGAAAGAAAATTTTAGTGCAGTTGAATACAGCAGTAAATAACAGGCTTAATAGCAATAAATATGAAGATTGTGGTATCAAAAAATAAGATACATTTTACCTTAAGACTCTGTTGTAACCATTACTATTTTCTCTCTAGAAGCAAAAAAAGTAACTGTCGTAAATTACTTAAGTTTGTTCGGATGTCTCTTATTCCATAGGTGATAGCATCTTCATTCTTTTTTTATATATTTCAAGTTGGAGTAGTATGATAATACGCAATTTCTTTTCTTACGTTTATTAAGTGAACCGTCATCCAATATATTTCTAAATTTTTCTTCAATGTTTGTTTTTCTAGCATGTTTGCTTAGCATCTAATATTTTACTTATGTTAGTTACTATTATTGAAATATAATCCATAAGAGTAACAGTAAGCAAATATAAAAAGATTATTAAACATTCATTCGGTTCGTGTAATAAGTTTTGAATATACATAATGTTATTTTTATATTACATTCTAATATTTCAAAAATTGTTCCATTTTAACGTAAATTATAATTACTCAATTCAATATTAATATTGGACTATATGTGATACAATTAAAAGAGACGTTACAAGAGTGCAAATTATTGTTTACTAATATAATATTTGTAGATAAAGAACAATTTGTCGAATTAATAACATAAATCGTTTTTAAATCGTTTGAGCTCCTCGATCTGATATAAAATATTCTAAAAATCTATTATCGTCGAATATAGAAATCACTATCAGCCACTATGTTTTCATTCTTTATACAAGTTTCATTGTTGCACAGAATAAATTACTGTGAAGTAAGATAGAGACAGACTCACAAGCTGAGAAAATAAATTTATTATTTTGGAGTAAACTAGAAGTAAGATTTACTATCATGTCCATGACACAAGTTACCGTAGTAAAATTTTCCAGCGACACACAATATAGGTCACCCATAACAAGTTTACAAGATTTCATGCTTCTTTGCATTACGAACAGTAATAATTTTTGCATTTGCACAGGTGCTAGATACCACTGACTATCGTATCTAAAAATTATCATAATATTCAAATGTACTACACTGTACTGGGAAAAAAAACTATTCAATTCATCGCGCTTCGCGCATTTAAAAGCATGATTGAGGGAAATGCCTTTATTATTTTAAATATTTACTTATACACTTACTTATTTTAAATATTTACTTATACATTATGCTTCAGTGATTCTTTACATTTGTCAACAATATAATTAATTTGTAATAAAGTTTTAATATAAAAAAAATAATTTTAACGTAAAATATCGAAATTTTATACATATACATATATAACTTTGACATTTACTCACGCTTTTCTAAAAATCTCCGTACTAGTATCTATAACCTTCTGTCCCATGTAATTACATATAAACATATAGTAAAAATGACCGAATACAAATATCAAGAACGGTACAAAATCTTTTCTTTGGTCTGGTAAAGTGGCAACTTGAAAAAGCTAAAATATATCAAAAGAATTTGGTTAATATTTATATTCCCTATGATACTATTCATTGAAATAAAAAAAAATATTATATAATAAGATAATAATGTAATAAGATTAACACATATTAACACATATTAACATACAATTAATACATGGTGCGTATCAATAAATTTATGTTTTACTTACACGAAATAAGTTTACACTCAAAGAAGATACACCCAGAAAAATTAGAATAAAATAGGATAACGTAAATGTAGATGTTAAATATTCAAAAAACCTTTGAAAAAAGAAATTTTGTTGTATCACTCAAAATATTTTTGGTATATATTAAAACTTTATACATAATGGCTAAGTATAATCAGTGACAAACTTATTAAAATTATGAAAATAAATAAAAACCTATAACAATAAAAATATAAAAATATTTTTAAATTATAAAATAAAATGGTACGTAAAAATCATTCTTATTTAAATTAATAAAATGTCTATTTAATAAAAATGAATAAAAAAGTCAATCTAAAGATCTTTAATTAAAAAAGAAACGGTTATAAAAAAAATGGAAACAATGCTAATATTATTGATAAAAGTAGTAGATTACTTGATAGATCTTTGATGAGTTTCCACAGTGTTAATTAATTTGACACGAATTGTATCTTCTGTATTTAATGCTAATAATATTAATATGCTTTTATCCAATATACACGTTATTCGATAACTATAACAAAAGCGAGATAGTTAATAATCATTATTTGTAGAATAATTCTTCTTACTCATTTAAATCCTTATTACATCTAACTATCTTACCTAACTATTTCAAACATGCCACAAATATGATAAATGAACGCAAAAGTCAAAGTCTCAGTAGCTATAACGGTCGTAGTTCCTAAGAGAATCGTTACGATCGTGTGCAACAATATGGGATAAAAGTATTTTTGTTCGTCCAAAAAGTATTCCACTAAGAATGGAAGATATCGCATACGTGATTCGTTTAACGGTGCCACAATATCAAGGATACCTGGCCAAAATGGTATTGAAATGTAAACAACAGTGGCAGGATAAGCCAGGCCTGAAATCATAAAGTACCTGAAGCATTATCTTGTTAAGAAGTTACGAATAAAAGTCATCCATAAAAAAAATATTTCTATTTCGTATAATTTGTATCCTTTGATTCGGGTATCCTACCTACAAATGCGTACATATATCTTCTTGCGGACTTGGTATATCTCCGTATTATCTCGACTTCTTCTTCGTCTTGTAAAGCATTCCAATCAATTCGAATGTGTTCCATTATTTTTTTAATCTGCTTCGTGTGTTAAGTTTATTGAAGAAAATTTCAGATAATCAATTTCATGTAACAACTTACCCTTTGAGATTGTACATAAAAAGTACTATATTTTAAAAGATAAACTATGGAAGGAATAGCGAATGACAGATCAGTCAACACAAGCTCGAGATTGTATTCCATTGTAAATAGTTTCAATAACTGAAACCATAAATTGTCTACATATTGTCAAATTAGCAAAACGATTTCATCTCTTATCAATCAAGAATGCAAAGAAGTGCACGTTTTTGAAGGGGGAGGGAAAAAGAGAGCTCCGTTTGCCTACAAAACGATTGCCAACAGCTTCATTTGCACACGACTATATGAGGGTTGGGAAAGTTACTTTGTAAAAATAATTAGTTACAGTTACAGTTTTTGTCTCTTAAAAAGTAACCAGTTACAAGTTACCGACTCTGAAAAGTAACATGTTACAGTTACAGTTACTCAAAAAGTAACGAATCGTTACTTTTCAGTTACTTTTAATAAAACAACATTAGCATTATAAAAAAAAGATTTACATTTACATATTATATAATTTTATTTAAAAAAGAAAAATAATGCGCGTATTTAAATATGAGCATTTAAATATTTCGCATAATTACACTCAACATTACGATTAGGTAATTGAGCGAAAGTGCTGCATAATTTTGATCAATGAAAGTGACGATTTGATATATATAAGGTAACTGTAAAAGTAACTATTAAATTAGTTACTAGTTACTTAAAAAATCTAACTAATTGTAAGTTAAGTTACAGTTACATATGGAAAGAAAGTAACGAAGTTAAGTTTCAGTTATTAAAAAAAGTAACTGTAACTTCGTTATAAGTAACGAGTTACTTTCTAAACCTGAGTCTGTATCGCACACAGCACATTCCACATCACATGTTGTACATGATTATTCTGCACACATTGTAAATCAAGGATCAGGTTTATAATTGCACGTTTTTACATGGGTTTGCAACTTTCCACTCAAATGTGCGGTTTCATATAGGTTAAGGAAGATCCTCCCTACCGTTCGATGCATGCAGTACGTAACGTCTATAATTGTACAATTCCATATAATTTTTCAACATTCCACGCGAAGCAAAAGTTAACAATGTGCATGTGTGCAGTATCGAAATGTGCGCAACATAATCGTGTACGTGATATGGTCATGTATGCAGTGCGCTGTGTCCAATACGGTGTGCAAACGAAACTCTAGACAATCGTTTTGTAAGCAAACAAAGTCCTCCCGTTTTTTGCACAAAAATATATCTTATAAAAAATTATCTTTATAAATATTTTTAAATATTTACAAAATTTTAAATATTTTTTATTTTATTAGGTTTTAATGTAGTAAATTAATATTTATAATTTTTTATTAATATTTTAAACATAATTATTAAAAAATTATTCTTATTCAATGACATATTATGGAGAACATATTGCTCATTGAAAATAAATAAAAACCTCTAATAATAAATTATTATTAGCAATAGTAATTTATTTTCATTTGTTTATTATGTTAGAGTTAAAAAAAATCAAGAGATGTCATTGTAATTTGCGTAAAATACATATTACACCAATAAAAAATATATATATAATCTTCCATACATATGTTTTAATAAAATAAGTCTATGTTAAAAGAAAAGTAAAACTTTTAAAAATTACTTTGATACCTTTAAAATTACCTAAAAAATTTTTATATATTTAAAGTAAGCTAATAACATTGCAGGCGATGTTAAAAAATAATGTTTTCTATAACTAATACTTTGCATAAGTGATATGTAAAATTATTATTGTTATTGAAAAAAACGAGCAAAATAAATCAAGCAAATACATTGTTAAATATAATACAGTAAAAGTATTTAGAAATTATTTCAAATATATTGTGTGTGCGTGCGTGCGTGCGTGCGTGCGTGCGTGCGTGCGTGCGTGCGTGCTGCGTGCGTGCGTGCGTGCGTGCGTGCGTGCGTGCGTGCGTGCGTGCGTGCGTGCGTGCGTGCGTGCGTACGTGCGTGCGTGTGTGTGTGATTATAATTTAATAAATAAAGTACTAAATGTCAATGTTCCATTTATATTTATTAAATGTAAATTATACCTGAGCAATTATTAAAAATAAAATCGTAAAGATACAGAAAATTGCGTAAATTCGTTTGAAGAACGAGTCACCATACGGCCATAGACCGAGAGTCAAGAAAAGGATTCGATACAGTTTATAGTAGTGATATCCAAGGAATTCCATTTCTCTTTGAGAAGTTCGCCGCGTGCACGTGTTCAAAGTGCTTTGGACTCTTTCACTTTAGCAGCATTCAGCAGTACTCTTTATTAAATACTATTTTTCCTTTTGAGAGAATTTCCCTCTATAGTTTCAGATAATATTCAATATTGCAAATTCCAATTTAATGTAATAGCTGTATAAGGCGAGAAAAATAACGACAAAAAAGGGCAATATTCGAAGCATGATGAAAAAAGTTGCTAGATGCTAGCAATTATGTAAATTATACTTTTATACTATGTATCATTCTATGGACTTCTTCAAAGTGTTTCTTGGGACTAATCTATTTTATTTGTTACCCTGTTACGCAAGCGCAGTTACAGTTACGTTCCATTTCACTTAAGTCTATCTATTAGTATTATTCTGTTTCTCGTGCGTTACGTTTCGTAATTTTACCTAGAAGATGCATAAAGACGGAGTTGTATATTTACATTATATTATATCTTATACCTATTAAAATTGATAAAATAGTGTTAATTTTGAATATTTAAAATTTAAAAGTATTATAATACAACTTTGACGATATGTGGGAATAAAAGTAATGAAGAAGTAAAGCGATTGCAAGAAACAACACATTTATATTATTTGATATGTAGAAGACAAATACAATATTTTATGATATCCATCGGCCTTGGAATATATAGACGGAACCATTTATGAGAGGCAGCTGAGATAAGCGGTAAGAGGAAGTTATAAAGTACTTTAGCTATTCTCATGGCATCAAAACACGCAAAACACATTTCGATCTAAAAACCAGCAGCTGGAAATCGAATAATGTGAAAATAAAATCGTATAAACTGATGACTGTCTGTAGTTCTTTCTTTTCTCTAATCTCAATATTTTCTCACCCTAACTAATAGTGTATCATTCTATATATGTGCCCCGTCTATATATTCTAAGGTTGATGGTGTTGCCTTAAAATTTCGTGTTACAAAATCTTTTAAATTATATTATACATTACGATTAATAACAAAATTTGTTTCTGTATATAATAATAATTGTTGTTCACAACATCATCATACTGAATAAAGTACCATAAAGTAGGACATGGATAAACTCATAGCCTAGAACAAGAAGAGCATCCCCAAAGAGAGTAACATGTATGTCAAAAATAATACTGTGTATTAAAAAATAAAAATTTAATATTACCGTGGCAAAACCTTCATATGACGAGACATAGATACCACCTACAAGTAATACACAATTTTTCGAGCTTCTTTGCATTACAAATAATATCAATTTCTGCGCGTGCAATGGCATTATATGCCACTTAGAATTATATCTAAAAATATAATAACGATATATCACTATTAATTATTGTATAATAATTGTAACATATATTATTATAATTGTATAATGATTAAAAATATTGTATAATATATATGTATATATATATATATATATATATATATATATATATATGTATGTATATAATATGGTGGTAAATTTATTGAAAACGTTAAAATAAAAATTTTAGTCAGGGTGTCTGTCTGGAATCTCGTCTGATTTATTTCTTAAAGTGATTTTGGGAAGAAGGAAAAAATATGTGCGTTTACGCATTAAAAATGCGTGCTTACGGAATTGCAAAGAACCATATTATGCTTCTGTTTATGTTAAAAAAACTTTTGCATATTGACTAGCTGATAGCAACAACTAACAATTTTTATATATAATAAAAACTTTTATGCGCAGCGCTCTATGAAACTAAAATGTGAACTTACAGCAACTTATAGCACTTTTGTGCATAGTATGTGCAAAAGAAACTAATACTATAAAATAATCCAAATTACACGTTCAATAAATATCAATATTTATCAATAACTTACGTTCTTGATAAAAAATCATTGCTGTGATTCAATACTTTTTGTCCCGAGTAATTGACAAAAAAGAAATAAAATATATGAATAAATATATTTGTCACAGGTATGATATTGTCAATAATTCCCTTTGTAGTTACAGCCTAAAAATTAAAAAAAAAATCTCATATTTCAGTAGAAAAAAATTCATTGTCAACAAAAAATGAAACTTTATGTTTTTAATACTAATCTGTTGTTAGTTTAAAAGTTAATATAAAAGTTTTTAATGCATATACTTTTAGAATTTTTATTCCATTATTAATGGTAATTATCAATTGCGCAAATATTTTACTCACACGACACAGACTAACAGTTAAAGATGCTATGCCGAGCACAAGTAGGAAAAAATACATTACAATAAAAGTACTCTTAACAAATTCGAAAAACCTTTAACAATGAGAAAAAAAAGTTATTAGATCACGCAAGTATGATACGCTATCACACTGTCTGTTCAGTTTTGAAATAGGGTAAATACATCATAGGATAGATGAATACATCACGAAGAAACGCGAAAAAATTACCACACAAGCTTAAATTTGAAGAAACATATAAATAATATTTAAATCCTGAATAATGCGATGAGAAACTACCGACTCGATAGCTCGTCTGTGAATGTCGACGGCACTGATTATTCTAGTGCAAGCTACACAACGTCTTCCAGAAACCGGATTTCTTTTCTTATAATCGCCCAAAGCATGTTCAATACGATAGCTAAAAGAATAAAACTGTCTTAACAAAAAGAAAATTTATAATTGCGTATAATGCGAGGGGTCAGCCACTACTAAAAAAAAGTACAGTGATTGCTAATTACGGCAATACAACACACTTTGCTAGCATTGCTATTGTATTGCTTTCGTATTATCATCAGTAATATCGCCATCTATTATCTCATGTACTGTCATCTATTACCTGATGTACAGCTGCCACCTATTGCGCATAATATTGTTAAGTATTGCTAATGTATTGATAGCATATTATACTACCGCAATACTAGCAATACCTATATTTCTAAAGAAATGTACACTGATTGCCATTGTGCTTGACCCCTCGGTATAATGCTTTCGACATAGGATTTAGAAATGTTGAGTACATTTTTACTAGTATGTATGTATGCATACATTTAATAATACATTTGAATATCAAATAATTCAAAAAAATATTTTTCTTTGAATTTCTTGTAAAATTATAATTTTTTACTAGTACGAAATTAATCTCGCAATTAAAATTTTAAAGATATATTATTTATAAACATTTAATTTCTAACATTAGAAATGTATCGTTTTAATAAATTTAAATATTCATTTTTATTGAAATGAGAGCTCATATAAAGATTAATAAAAAGATATATAAGACATTGTTGTTCATTATTTACTTATATATTTAGATTTTATATATTTAGATTTTAATATTGCAATATAGAAGTGCAATATAGAGATACATTTTAAGTATGAGAGTAGATCAAATATAAACGAGAATTTCGCTTTAAAACCTAGAAAAAGCGGAGTTGAGCAATGCGACCTTGAGGAGGTGATATGGTGAGGATATATGAGAAGGTGATATCTTACCTGAAAGCGTCGCCGAGTCGGTACGGCAGCTGCAATAAAATGAGCGAAAAAGAAGTTCATTCGTCTGTTGCGCAATTATATGGGATCATGGTTCTCATTTTCAACTATTTCTCGTCCATGCAGAGAAAGTTTTACACCAAAAAAACTCACGGGACTGTGAGAGGGTGGATTTCCTAAATTGTTCACATAATCTTCGAAATTTCAGCCGGTCGGACTCCTTCCTTCACCAGAAATTTGATTATAATTCGTTGCGCAACAGACGGATGAGCTTCTTTTTCGCTCATTTTATTGCCGCTGCCGTACCGACTCGGCGACACTTTCAAGTAAGGTATTACCTTCTCATATCCTCATATCACCTTCTCAAGGTCGCATCGTTCAACTTCGTTTTCCCTCGATTCTAAAGCAAAATTCTTGTTTATATTTGATCTACCCTCGTATATAGAATTTTTACATTAATTCACGTTTCAATTTTTTCTTACCTAGCTATTTCAAACATTCCGCATACATGCTGTATGAATGCTACATATATAGATGTGGTAGACATTAGTATAATTTGAACTGTAAAAACGGACAAAACCAAATGCAAAAGAATAGGATGAAAGTATTCATTGAAGTCAACAAAGTATTCCACTACCATCAGCGGATGATGTGGACGAGAATGATTAAGTGGCGCCACAAGATCAAGAAGATTCGGTATAAAATGCAAACAGGCGAAGAATATTGGAACACTATAGGTGACTACTATAATTAACACGAGATCAATATTAATTATTAATCAAATAATTATTAAAAAGTTAAAAACTTAAATATAAGTACAAAGACAACAATGCAAGTAACATTGAGATGATTAAATAGCACTTATAATTAGAAACAAAACATTTTAATGTTTAATTAATTAATTTAGTTTTTATTTAGCAATTTAATTTTTTATCAATCTTTTACGATCAACTTTATATTCGTGACAAATTATATAATGAAAACGGAACAGAAGTTTAGTTGCTTTAAGTACAAGTATAAAATATTATTTACATAATAATAATAATAATAATGATGATAATGTATTTCACACAACAAGTAAAAAAATGTAATAAAGTTTTATTAATCTTACGTGCAAATAGTTGTGCGTAAAATGCTCCTATGTAAGTATATTTCTTAATTATTTCACTTTCCATTCTGTCTTTTAGTATGCTCCAATCATACTTTATCATCTCCATTATCATTCTCATCTATAAGACATACAACGTATGTCATTTTTATGTGTTTATATCATAATATAACAATATAATTCAGCTTAAATTAGTACATTTTTTAATTTAAATATTACGTCTATTGTGATTTTTTAAAAGAATGTACAATTTTTTTATTTGGAAATATATTAATGCCAGATCCTATAATAATATCTTAATTATAGCATTTTATAATAACTTTACTGTTAACGTATGTAGAAAAACTTGCTTAAATAAATAAAATTTATTGCAATCTTTCTAAAAATTTAATGAGTTTATAGGTAAATTGAAGTAAAGTATTTCTTTTAACTTTATTATCAAATGTACTATAGCAAGTGTAATTAGTGTAACTTACAGATTTAATTTTCACGCAATATGCAGTATATTTCAAGATGACAATGAAACAAGGAATTGTACATGATAACACTTCAAGAAGAAGATCCAAACTGAATTCAGATGTAATAAATGTAGAAACCTGAAAGTTGCTCGACATAAGATATAATCTTATAGACAAAGAAAAACATAATTAAAATACGTATAATACAGATTTTAGTCATTAAATTGTCTTTATTTATAAGTAAGCAATAATACCTGGACTATTATGCAAGATACAACAGAAAGAGAGAAATAAATTCTTTGAATTCGCATGTGCCACACATTTTGGTATGGCCATAGCCCGATAGTTGATAACATTACTCGATTAAGCATATAATATCGACTACCAACGAAGTCCATTTCTGTGACACAACTGAAAGCACATTTCCAGCCGCAACCAAGAGGAAAAGAGGATGATTACAGCTGTTTTATTATGCATGACATTATTGCAGCACGGCAGAAAAAATAGAAGAATTGCTTATAGTTAAGCCAAGGGGTGAAATGGTTATGATGATTGGAGTGGTATATATTACTGTGAAATTGCAGTAAATAATATAATTATATAAATTACTGTTAGATCGCACTCGCTCCTCTTTTGTAAAGCCAGTGTAAATTCTTTCATATTTGTAATAGACGCAAGAGAGAGCATAACATAAAATACGATATTTCATTAGTTGATTACACACTTCCGTAATTTCTTCTTTTATGACTTGTATGGTAGTACGGATACTTTCAATACATATCTCTTGTGTTATATGTCTCTTTTGTTACAAAGTAATAATAATCCAAATATTTTTAACACTAATTTTTATAAGACAATTGATTTATTAATTAAAAAGAATGTTCGTACTGCAATTTAAGATAATGAGAATAATACGTTGAATTTTATTGCTGTAATAGTTAACAATTATTATTAACACTTGATTTGTTTCTCTTCTAACTAAATAACTGAATAGTATGTATGTTTAAAACTATGTATGCCTTATGTTCAATTCAACAACACATGATCAAAATGATTGTAAACTAAAATTAAATTTAATTAAAATTTTCAACAAACAATTTGAACTTTTGTTGATGACTTTATTGCCATCGATATCAAAAATTTTTCGTTCTTTCAATATGATTACATTCGAAATAAGTATAATATTGGAAAGTAAGATGTTGAGATAAAATTCGAACAATCTGAAAAATAGTTTTCTTTACTTCAATGCCTCTTTATTCTAGTGTAATCTATTACACAATTATTATTGAAATAAAATTTTCTGTCAATGCAATTATTTATAAAACTGTTAAATAGTATATAGAATAAATATATACTTGATAATTTTTTAAAATATAACAATAATTTTTTTGTGCGTACAAGGAACACATTACATATGTGAGTAATCTACAAACATGTGTTTTGCCAATATGACGCAGGTGTAGCATATGTCGACGTCTGTTGTGTTACGTGTTTCATTATTCTTCGGGTTGTTAATTATCATAAATTTTTCTTACAAAAACTGCATTTATCAGCTTCGTTATCATGTAAATTATTTATAAGGAATGTCGTCAGGGTTGGGACGCTGTCAGGGTAGGGACACTGCTATATTTTGTCCGAGACACTTAGCGTCACCATTGTCAAAGCGTGGCATGACTACTCTCGGTGACAACAAACTTTTCTCGTGTTTTCTCAGCATTACTCGTGTCGAAAACAGGTTTTAACAAGATTCGTGGTATCATTTAACTTTCGGCATATGAAAAAGTTTTGTAGCGTCCGTAAAGAAGGTCTTAAAACTTGGACGGAAAACATGCCAATGCCAAAGTAAGTATATATTTCTATTATTATATATTATGTGGTTAACCATCAATAAGTTCCCGAAGGGAAAAGTTCATTCCCTAACCTGTTTGTCTGTAACGTGTAGTGAAATGAAATGACACTTATCGTCAGGGTTGGGACATTTTTGTAGTCAGGGTTGGGACGCATAATAGTAGGTATATTGTGTAATATGGAACTAAAACTATCGATAGTTTACACGCACATAACGCCGAGGAAACCATACTCCTGTCACATAAAATAAAATATTGTTTGTTTTCAGAACTTCTCGCTACAAGCGAACGTCTGATAGAAGCAAGTTTAATTTGGAAGATGCCGTTCAGGCTATCAAAGCAATAAAGTTGGGAAACAAATCTGTAAGAGCTGCGGCAGTACAATACAATGTGCCACGATCTACTTTGTGGCGATATGTGGAACAAGTGTCGACCGAATACGAAGACATTTCTACTGTCCCTGATGATAAATTGCAAGAAACAGTTCAACGTGTTGGTACATACGCTGCATGTGCCGTGAATCAAGTGAGTATAAAATTAAGTGTAAAAAGTGTAAAAAATTCGTAAAAAAATAAATTAATCAATCTGGTATTGTTTTTTCAGGTGTTTACTGCCAAAGAAGAAGAAGAGCTTGTCAGCTATGCCAAAAAATGCAGCGACCATTACTATGGTTTCAGTATCAATGAATTGAGAGAGTTGGCATACCTATTTGCTAAACAAAGACAAATAAAATATCCTTCGAATTGGGATGACAACAAAATGAGTGGACGTGATTGGTACTATGGGTTCATGCGGCGTCACAAGGAACTTACTCTGCGCACCCACGAGGAAGCAGCAAGTTCAACTGGCATGCACGAAGAAGTAGCGAGTTCTAAGCCTTCGACTTCCACGTCTTGTGAGTCTAGTCTTTCTACCATTTTGTCATCGATTGGGCCTGTGCAAGCGGCCGCGCCAGCGAATAAAAAATCCAATCGCGGACGGCGCGCAATGAAAAGTACCATTTTAACCTCGCCAGAAAGCCGTGACACATTGCGTGAGAAGCAAGAAAAGCGAGACACCTCAAAGGGGCCCAAAAAACGCCCAGTATCGAACACTAGGAAATCAGCTCCCAAAACACCAGCGAAACGAGGTCGCCCACCAAAGAAAGTGCAAAAGCAACTTTCTTCGGATGAAAATGGAGATGAAGACTTTTGCATAATTTGTTTGGAAAAAATGCCTCGGATCTTAAGTCGCAACAACTCCATTGCGTGCATCGAATGCAAAAGAGAAGTGCATTTAAAGTGCGCCAAACTCACGAAGAGTTATTTCATATGCCAAAATTGCAAATCAGAATAATGTTTTCGGGAAGATTTCGCGTCAAAACTATGTATTATTA